TTTTGTGAGTACGTTCATCTATCATCCCGTCGACCGCGGATTCGTTATTGAACCTAGGATCATTGTCATTAGTTTCTCGAATACCTAACTACCACGGTTACTTGTCCGGTTCTATAATAATCGTATTTGCACTAGTCAATGTCTTCTCTATTGCATAACGACAACGTGTAACCCAAACGAAGATTCGTTTCACGCCCCTAACCCTAATTCTAATGTAAACCCGACAATATATATGCCGGAGATGAAAGAACATCGGGATTTCCCATCTGGAATGTTGGGAAGAACCCCAATATCCTAGTCCAGACTTTTACTACACTTAGTCCAGGCTGGAATGTTGGGAAGAACCCCAATACCCAGTCCAGATTTTTACTATAGCTGCACTTAAGTAATAAAAATAAGGAATAGTTTTAATGTTCCAACCTGGCTTTATGACGATGGGTTCGGGTTCGAAGTGACATAGCGCGTCACTGGACGTAGCCACGGTCACGGGAGGGACGTGTACCTGACACAAGTATGGAATGATTACATGGCTCTCCTTAAAAACAAAGACTGACCCGAGAAGTGGGCACAGGAATATTTATATATTATTATAATAGTATTATTTATATATTCATATTTATAGAATATTTGTATATTCATATAACAGGGCAGTTTCATTTGGATTACGAGTTAGTTGGTTAGTCGTTGGGCGAATTACTGATTGAGTTATCGAGAGAGTTATCCGAATCGTGTATTACGTTGGCACTCGTCATCCCGTGGACCGTGGATTCGTTATCGAGCCTGAATTCGTTGTCACCATCATCTCGACCATCCTATCGCCGCTATTACTCATAGCCTCTTGTAGCGTGCATATTTGTACTGTTACGTTTTGTTTGTTAATTTTTGAATTCAAATTAAATTGTAGTGTTGTCTGTTATTTGTCAGGGGTTGTGAGGCTCGAATTTGGTTTCTATACAAATTGTTAAAATTTATTTAAATTTCAAATTGGAACGCTCACTCGCGCTATTGGTAGTTTCAGTCTACGTTACGGCGCGTGCGCAGCGCGGGACGTGACATACCAATAAACAGTAGCTATATAAATTGAGTTAAGGGTATTCGAACGCCCCAAAATTCCTATTCCAATTCGACATGTATTTTATTGTTCTCTTGTACAATGTGTGGAGAAGTGCGTCGATCAGCGACACTATTACATTAAAATTTTTAAATTTTCTAATAAAATATTTCAACGATAAAATAAGTAAAATAGATAAAACGAAGTAAATTGATGAAAAGACGATATAAATAAGAGACACAAGAATATTTTGAATTGTTAAATTAGCCGCGGTGACGATTACGCTCTCTTTTCTTTCATTTTTTTTATATTAATATCAGGTAGATAAGTAGGAGAAATACAGCAGGTAGAGTGCAGAAATATTACTCGCAAACGTGACACGATGACAGGAATTTCTCAATTTCCAAGCTGAATCCAAGCTGATCAGGCGAACGTTCTTGATAGAGAAGTGATTTAATTTTACCTTATTGGGAGTTATACGCCGTTCACCGTACTCAACTTTAGCACATCATTCTCGTACGTCAATATTGTTTCCCTTTCACTGTCGCGAATCCTGAAACAATCACAGATACAAATCGTTATCGTTTCTGTACATCTTGCAGATAGTACATGAAAATTCTATCGAAGATCTCATGTTGTTTTACAAATATAAGTGACGTCTCATGTCTTATGGGATCACCTACATACGATTTATTATCTATGATAAATTCTTTGTTCATTGTTCTTACTTTTTGATGGTGATCTTTTTGCCGTTGACAAATTTAGTTGAAACACTTATCTGCTTCATACAATAAGTAATGCGGCCTCTACTCAAATTCGCATTGAACCAGGTCAAGTTTCCTGGCAGACGTCGAAACAAGTTGTGGGGATGTGGCCGCAATGATGATGGGAAAGCAAAGCGAGAAGCAGCTCCTAACGGGCCAAGGAATCCCCGCCTCCTGATTCTGCATGGATGACTATGCCTGTTTAGTCCGCTGGGTACACCGACTCTAATAAGGTCTTTGGAACAATTAAAACACTAATTAATCACATGGTTCTTACTACTATTTAAACATCTGTGGCGGATCGGTACCAACAGGACGCCGACAGGTCGAGGCATCAACGCGGCGCAACACCTCCCGGGCAATCCGCGGATACCAACCGCCAACACCAGAGGGCTACGACGACAATGAGTCTGTCTATCTCGCGGTCGAATATACTGGCGAACGATACAAATACTGCACCTAGCAAGACTCCCTCTACGTCTAAGGCAGGGACTACCTGGCACGGAAACGCAACCTCTCTTTTCATCCGCCACACATCTATTATTCGGTTAATTACTTGAATACGTTTTTTTAAGTGGATAAGGTAACTGCATATTTATTTGCGTGCTCCAATATTTCATTCTATGTGTCTCAGGGTACAGGTAGTTGGTGCTACACAGAATCACCGATTAAAAGACTAGCAGAATGGGTTTACTTACTGAACAGGTTCTCGAGAGGAGCAGCATTAAAGAATTCTCTAAATACTTCCTCAGGGGGTCTAAATATGAAAGATGGAATATTGAAGTGTGCATTAATGTCGTTCCTGCATTGCCTCTCAACACATCGCGTTTGAAGTCCTTCCTTTCCATCGTAGATGCTTCTTTTCCTTTCTGAAAAGCATATAAAACAATAAGCGATCATTACTAATTGTAGAATAAAAGTTGAAGGCAGATTGCTTAGTTTTATTTGTTTCAAATTCCAAGAAGCAAGTACTGCAAGGTTTGTCAGGTTAGTAGAATACGCTGAATGGTTTGTAACATCAATCTGAGGTCGTCCACCGCAAGAGCAACATCATTAAAGAGGAAACGATCTCGGGAATCGTCGAAGTCGTAGACAGCCCTCGAAGAATTTGTGAAAACTTTAAGAGATCAAATACAGTGACGAATAAATACAGAAACTTACCGTCAATTAAGACTTCGTACGCCTCGGATATTTCTTTGAATCTCTTGTTCGCTTCTTCCAGGTTATCAGGGTTTTTGTCTGGATGCCATCTCAATGCCAATTTTCTATATCTGTAAGGCAATGCTTTGTTTAATCAACCGACCAGCGATGCTTCTTTATAGTAGAACTTAAGAAGTCTCTTGACTCCCTCTAACCAAGATTGCTGATCGACTTCTAGATCAGAGCCAGCTGCCTCAACGGAGTAGAAATAAAAAGCCATTCATTCAGTCTTTTTTCACCCATCGTATTTACCATTCGTCTAATAAAATAGCACCAATGACAAACAAGTAATCACACTTATTTATGATAAGGTAATTCATTTGAACATGTATATATAGGGTGGTACAAGCGGAAAGGGGGTGATTCTACGCGAAAAAAGAAGTCGAAAATATAGAATAAAAATTTTTCGTTTGAGGCTTTGTTTTCGAGAAAATCGACTTTGAAAATCGACTTTGAAGTGTCGCTCGGTACGCGTGCACTTTATCGTGTCTCGTTATAACGGATCTCACTGTAGATTTTTAAAAAAATTAAAAAAAAAATTAAAAAAAGTTTTTATTCTATATTTTCGACTGTATATACAGGGTGGTTGATAACTGGTGGTACAAACGGAAAGGGGGGGGGCGAAAATATAGAATAAAAAAATAAAAAAAAAATTTCTACAGTGAGATCCGTTCTAACGAGACGCGATAAAGTGCACTCGTACCCAACGAAAATCCAAAGTGGATTTTCTCGAAAACAAAGCCTCGAACGAAAAATTTTTATTCTATATTTTCGACTTCTTTTTTCGCGTAGAATCATCCCCTTTCCGCTTCTACCACCAGTTACCAACCACCCTGTATATGTATCTTTATAACACATATCCTCGTTGAACTTGGCTTTTTCTTCATAATTTTTTTTTTTAAATACTAATTCAATCTTATCATAGAATATTAAATGCAAGTTAAACGTTCGAGTATTCTTGAACATTCTTCTCCGTTGATAACGGGCTGCTCTGCTCTTATTGAGCCATTACTTACGCCTTTTTGATGTCCTCGCTCGTGGCGGTTTGTTGCACGTCTAGTACATTGTAGTAGTCAGCCATCGTTCACAATGTTTGCACTTAGATGTTAGGATTTAGGCGAGCACCTATCGAGCAATGCAGAGAGGCGATTATAGTAATTATATATTATATATATATAGTAATATATTATATATTATATATTATATATATATAGTAATTATATATTATAGAATATAGTATAGCAGCCATGTAACGAGACACGTGTAAAGATACTACTTTTGTTCCGACAGTCTAGTTGTTTTGAACGAAAGGGGCATCTTTAGAAAAAACAGAAACCACGTAGGAAAGAAAGCTTGATAGTATAACGTACGACAGAGGTTTATAAACCTCTATAGAGGTAAGACCTATATACTTCCACATTTAGGATAGTTCTCTATGATGTTAACAAATTCAATGAAACATTGTTTCGACCACTCACGTGGAGACGCGACCTCGAAGAAGCGCGCCAACGGGAGTTACGATTTGAATAATCGACGCCACGAATATAAGTAGTATAAACGAAGTATATAGCTAATTTGAACAGGTTATAGTATATATACTTCCAACAACTACGTACACTATAATATGTGTACGTCGACTGTCAAACTACGAGTGAGACTGATTTCGTGTTACCGTTTGTGATTTGATGGTTGTGTAACTGAGATTTAGACTACTATTTTCGAGCTGAGATTTAGACTGTTGCCTAGCTGAGATTTAATTGTTTACTGGCTTGTCCGCTCTCATGTCATTACGGAGGAAAGCTCGGTGTGGGTGCGTTTGTTGTATGAAGAAAGCGGATTCGTTGTGCTCACACTTTTCGTTAGGGAAGTGGGGGTAACGATTCGCGCTGCCCATTGGTTAGAGCCAACGTTAATGAATGTAGCAAGCCTCCTAGCAACGTGGCTCGAGGGTGACACTGACCGTGGGAAAAATCCGCTTTTCCCGTTAGATAAATATATGCCTTCTCCATAATTTGTAAGAGCGCGCAATAAATCTAAGGATTATTCTAAGGACCATCCATAAAACAAAACACTTACAGGATTCAAGTTAAAAGATTAATTTTATGGCGAGTCCTTAAGTTTAGTTCTGAGGTTTAGGATAAGGAGGGATGGCGTGCGGATTGTATCATGCGACGGACAACGAAGACTTTACTATCTTACTGATGCTAATTCATTCGGGAAGGGACCTTATTGCCGGCGAAGGACCATAGAATCAACAGCGGTTCGTTAAATTGTTCTATTTGCCCCCTTCCTGCCCCCCTTTTTGCCCCTAAGTAGTAAAAATTTCGGCTCTTTCGGCAGAGAATCCTGCGAAGAAGAAACTGCGCCTTCTCTCTATAAATTCTCTTTTAGAACGAATATCTTAAACGATAAATTCGTATTTTATAATCCATTTGCTGTAGAAATTTTAAAACGTTCCAACGTACAACGCACAAAATATACTCGCGAAAGGTATCGAAAAAAGGTCGCGCAGGAAAGTAATTGTCATTTTCAAGTAACAACAAACAAAAATGCGCTTTAGTTTTGTTCGTTCGTAACTTTCCTCGTAATTTTTTAGTACAACCACCATCCCTGTTTCATCACTTACCTCGATATTCTATGATTTTTTGAACACACAATTAGCCATACACTTGCGTCGCCAGTTCGCATAACCATCGTTCACGCAGTATTTAATTTCAACCTACAGGTTTCTGAAATACTTGGAACGAAAGCACACGGCGATAATCACGCCGCGTCTCGCGCTGTTGCCATTTTAAGTAAACAAAGTCCTCGCTGGCAACCGCAACTATCCAAATATCTCGTTCGTCGCGCAAGGATCGAATTCGTGGCTGCTAAACAAGTCTTTATCAGTTTGATTGTTCACCGTTGCTTTGTTCGATCTCCACTGCGCGCGGGCACTCGTCAAAATTTCAAATTAAATTCCATGAAAATGTCTCGCGGTGTTGGACAGTTCTTCCGCGGTGTTTGAAATTTCAACAATTTTCCTGAATTTCTGGCTGAATTTTTCGGATAAATTTGTCGCTGGTTAATCGATTTCAAGTTTGTTTCGGGCGATTTTTAATTCTACAAGTTGTGGCTGCGAGCTTCCAAAACTTGCATAATCAAATATTTCCGACGTTGATTTTAATATAGGAAACTTTCACGCGAAGATTTTCTGTCTGTCATTTTGCAAACATCTGTCCATTCACTGTCTTTATTTATTGCGTTTTCTTCGAAATTCCTTCGCCGATATTATCGAACTTAGCATTTCTAAAATTTATACCGACAGAGAAACTAATAAATTTTTATATTTCAAACTTTCGGTAATAGTGAAATATAACAAGCACCTGAAACTTTGGTTTAATTGAAAAATGGCATAAAGTAGCAATTTTGTTACGATGCAGGTGATTTGATATGAGATGGTGTTAGATGTAAGTGTCCAAGTAATACTCTCGATATTCAAACAAAATGGTTTATTAAACAATTAACAGTCAACAATCAACAATCATGCTGCTCGAATGAGTTTGCTTCGTGGTTACGCGAAGTGAGCCTTCGCACTTCGCTGTTCGAAACGGAATGAATCTTTTGTTCAAAACCAAACGGATTCTTTTCTTTGTTGCCCATCGATATCTCCACTACTCACGCGTTTGTTAGACGTGCGCCATATTTTGATGGTATAGCGTTTTGTGTCGCGAAGCCGTCGGAAAGTTTCGTCGTCGAATGCCGCTACAGATAATTCGCGGTATTCCAATCTATCTTCGTTGTATAAGATTAAAGAACATGTAGATAAAATTATTTCCTCGTATGATTTAGTCAGGCAGAAAAAATCGTAGCATAGGAACAATCATGTCAAATATCGATTCTGTGTCTTACAACACATTCATAACGTATTCACATTTCACACACGAAACACGCCGCGTCTGCTCTTCTCTTCTACTACTTTCGCTGTAATCGACATTGTAGAAAAGGCAGGAAGCATCCTTTTCGGCAGGTTTTCCGCCGATATTCGGAGTTGGCAACAAGCCATTAGAACCTAAAATTCCACGTCATATTTTCTATTTGTCAAACGTTTGCATAATCGACACGAAACGATAGCATTGACATACTAACGAATAATTGGAGCGATTTGCTGTAAAGTTTCGACAATTTTTGTTCACTTTGTCGAACGCCCAAAATGCCAATTAAGTTGTCCACGTGGTTCGAGTTGCAAACTTTATAACGTGCAACGTGGAAAAACTCTAACTTCTAAAAAATAGCTGATGCGCTTCGTATCGTAAACTTGGTATAATTTCATATGACAAACAATTATTATGTGGCGGATCGGTATCAATAGAGGACGCCGACAGATCGAGCCGCGGGTACCAACCACCAACACTAGAGGGCTACAACGACAACGAGTCTATCTAACTCGCTAGCGGTCGAATATACGAGCGATTGATACAAATACCGCACCTAGCGAGACGCCCTCTACGTCTAAGGTAGGGACTACCGGGCACAGCCTTACTGACGAGTCCACCGGTAGTCCCGGGACGAAACGCACAACTCCACCTCTCTCTTCACACCCGTCACATTGGTAACCACCGACAACGAACACGCACCTTTGGAGAAGGAGTCAGAGAAAAAGGAGCCAACCACCGACGACGAACAACACGCCAAGCAGGCGACCGGGTACGAGACGACGACCAAGCCAGGAAGTGATGTAGCTGTTGCAATAGTTCATGGGCATCACCTCCAGCTGCACGTCAGAGAAAAAGACACAACCATCTCGTCCCCATGACGATCAGCTTTCCATCATCGACGACGGGCCATTCCCTCTATCTTGTATCGCGCTATATACCTTTGGGGTCACGCTATAGCGCTAGGGGGAGGCTGTGTGGCGGATCGGTATCAATAGAGGACGCCGACAGATCGAGCCGCGGGTACCAACCGCCAACACTAGAGGGCTACGATGACGACATCAATAGAGGACGCCGACAGATCGAGCCGCGGGTACCAACCACCAACACTAGAGGGCTACAACGACAACGAGTCTATCTAACTCGCTAGCGGTCGAATATACGAGCGATTGATACAAATACCGCACCTAGCGAGACGCCCTCTACGTCTAAGGTAGGGACTACCGGGCACAGCCTTACTGACGAGTCCACCGGTAGTCCCGGGACGAAACGCACAACTCCACCTCTCTCTTCACACCCGTCACATTGGTAACAACCGACAACGAACACGCACCTTTGGAGAAGGAGTCAGAGAAAAAGGAGCCAACCACCGACGACGAACAACACGCCAAGCAGGCGACCGGGTACGAGACGACGACCAAGCCAGGAAGTGATGTAGCTGTTGCAATAGTTCATGGGCATCACCTCCAGCTGCACGTCAGAGAAAAAGACACAACCATCTCGTCCCCATGACGATCAGCTTTCCATCATCGACGACGGGCCATTCCCTCTATCTTGTATCGCGCTATATAGCTTTGGGGTCACGCTATAGGGCTAGGGGGAGGCTGTGTGGCAGATCGGTATCAATAGAGGACGCCGACAGATCGAGCCGCGGGTACCAACCGCCAACACTAGAGGGCTACGACGACGAGTTTATCTGTCTAACTCGCTAGCGGTCGAATATACGAGCGATTGATACAAATACCGCACCTAGCGAGACGCCCTCTACGTCTAAGGCAGGGACAACCGGGCACAGCCTTACTGACGAGTCCACCGGTAGTCCCGGGACGAAACGCACCTCACTCTCTCTCTCTTTTCATCCGTCACAATTATTACACGCAAAATGAACAATCTAACGCTTTTTTCCTAGGAAGCTCCCTTCCATCTTGTCGAACAAACGGACACGTATAATACGTTTCAAAAAATAGCTTGCTTCACGAAATGTTGAGAGCTCTCGTTGCGCATTCTCGCCACGCGCAGACAAATATCCACGTGGCTCTGCGCTTGGGATGTACGTACAACAGTAAATAATACATCTAAAATAATAAAATCAATGAATTAGAAAAAAAGGGCTATAGGCAAATATCTTACAATATGCAGTGACATAATCTGCAATTTATTATAAAATAATTGATCCGAACAGAATTTATTATAAAAGAAGGTTGCTGAATATGATAGACATTGTCGAATACTAATCGAATAAAATCATTTAGTTAATTTTACAGCCATTTAGTTCATACTATTCGCTACATAATTAATATCTGTATCACGTACAGCGATGCGGGCGGTATTGAAGAAAAAAAGCCATTTTATGTTACAACTATAACGAGTAAATTTACTCGTTTAACTTGAAAAGAATTAAAAAGGCACCTGACTTTTAAGTAAGCATTAAATAAGAATTTTAAATATCGCAAACAGTGATGTAGGTATTATTCAAGAAAAAAGAACATTTTATTTTATAATTAGCACGAGTAAATGAACGAATATCGATAATATAATATAATGCTTAATATGAATTTTATTTGTCCAATTATTTAATACCTTGACTTATTCCACAGTAACGTCATCAACTGCCGTTAGGCTTTTTTCTCTTTTTGTCCAAACTAATTGATAGTCGAAAACTAGTATCAAAGAAGTGTGAATTTAGTCTTAGTTTGTAGAAATTATCAAAATAATAAAAATAGATATCGTATTAAATCGTTAAAGATGCCAATTTACGATAAAAATTAAGAAATCGTTTAATTTGATTTTGTTATAATGGAAAAACCGTCGTTTGCTATGTCAGAAAACCGTTACCGTTTGATTGACATCTCGACACCTTGTCAAGTTATATAAGGAACACACAAGTCGCGCACGAGCTCTTTGGTGCCTGAACTGCCGGAGAGTGAACATCGAAGAAGAATTGCAATATGAGGTAAATAAAAAAAAAATATCAAATAATAACATTGAAACTAGTAATTTATGACATCTAAGCCATTAATTTACAACACTTAAGTTATTCATTTATAACATTTAAGCTATTAGTTTATAACATTCAGACCATTAATTTATAACATTTAAACTATTACTTTATACATTTAAACCATTCATTTGTAACAGTCAAACTATTAATTTATAACATTTAAACTATTAATTTAATACATTTAAAACATTAATTTACGACAATGAAACAAATAAGTAACAACATTCAAAAGATATATTTATAACATGTAAACTATTAATTAACAACATTCAAAACATTTATTTATTACATTTAAAACATTAATTTATAACATTTAACCTATTAATTAATAACAATCAAACCATTAATTAACGACATTTTAAACATTACTTAAGGACAATTGAAGCATTAATTTGTAATATTTAAGCCATTACTTAATAGCAATTATATCATTAATTTGTAAAAATCAAACCATTAATTAACAACTTTTAAACCATTACTTAGTAGCAATTGAAGCATTAATTTATAATATTTAAACCACTAATTTATAACATTTGAACAACGATATCATGCTAAAAACTGTTTTAATATAGTCTAGTCTAGATCATCCAAAACAGTTTTGTTGATCTGGACTGGACTAATACCTCCATAGGGGGCACCGTAAGACGTCATGGGCCACCGTGGGATGCGTGCGCTTCGCCTTAATTATTCATGAGGTAAATACATATGTTAAGTGCATTGCGATCCCATTCTGTACAATGATACTTATCCGTCTTGAAACGAAAAATAAAAATCTCTTCTCTCTTCATTCCCTCGCTTACCACACAGAAAAAATTGTTCTCGCGATTTATCGGTTCGTGATCAAAAATTAATCAGTTGATTAATCTTTGGAAAACGATACCAAGCCAAGAACTACGCTACAATCCAGTTTGGATCACCAAGAGCTACTAAGAGAATTTTGGATGATCTAGACTGGACTGCACCGTGGGACACCATGGGACACTGTTCACCTACATTTTTCATTATCTCCAACTTTTGAAATAGCAATCGCGCATCGTGTTTTGTTCTGTAACAGATTTTTTGCAGCCTCCGTTTCTACCATTGGCCTTTCAACGGTTCCTGCCTAATGTTAGTCTCTCTGATGATATTCGCTGGGATAGTGCAGCTCGATAACGCCCTCTGTTTCTCTGCTTCAACAATTTATCAATTTTCATAACTTAATTATAAGCATATACTATTATTTAATAATTAATTATTAAATATATAATTCTAATATGTTCTTACACGCACAAGTTTGTTTTGCTTTCAAATGTAAGATCATGCTATAGTAATAAAAATTTCGGAATTTATACATCAATTAATAGCAAAGTAAATAATGATAATAAATTATATTCAGTTAAAGAAATTTCTCTTTCCATGATAGTTCCGCTATTAATTCTCAAAGACCATTCTAAATTGCTAACATTTTTGTCACGTTTTTCTATTTATTACAATGTTTGAATCGTTGAAATATACTTATTAACAATTGTATGAATAATTAAGTAATATACCGTAATAATATTCTTACTAATACAATATTTTGTTTAATCGTAGCAGCTACACTCATGTAATATAGCTTTTCATTAAGAACATAATCTTATTCGTAATTGTTACTGAACATTGTCTTAAATACGTTTTCTATTTCTCAATCTCATCAATTTGACTGTTTGAATACAATAAATTTGCGCGCGCTCGTGTATACGAAAATCGTGTATATATTCCTATTCGTGGAATATATTGCGAAGTCAAATTTAGCGTGCCTATTGGCGCAGAATATTGTCAAATGAAATTGAGTGTTCCTATTGGCGCATTATATTGTGACGTCATATCAAGCGCTCCTATTGGTTCAGAATATTGGAAAGTCGTAGTTTAAACCGGGCCGAGAGGTGACATACTCCTGAAAGTCGTGGAGCGAAAATTCGTCTCGTCGAACGTTATCCTGTTGTTAGTACCTTCATTTCGACCTTATCAACGATTCTACACTTCTATCTGGTTCATTCACATAGTACGTTTGTATTTAATCAGTTATTGATTATAATATTAGTAAAATTAAATAGTATCCCGAAATTTTTTTTTACCTTTATCGTTGACTGCGTATTTGACAAGTTATGGTTATTGATCGTTCATATTGAAGATCTTTGAGGTAGAATTTGGATTCTATTATTACTTTATTTCACTATAATTGCTTACACTGTTGTAAATTATTGGTTTATTATACATTTATTATTGACTGTAATTGTGATGGTTAAAATTATCGATAATTCACATTACACCGACCTTTACCATAATTTATTCTGTTATTGCAAATTATTGGTTTCCTTTTGTGTAGATTATTGGCTGGTCGCATGACTGAAATAGAAAAGGCGTTCACATCACAAACGCCACAAGCGATTAACGATCGATAATTCGAACTAAAACAAGATGGATGTCATAGATGATTATTAATAAATCTAGTCGTTGATTTCTCATGCAAATTTGGTAATGATTGAGGTATTATAACAAAACAAAGGTACGTGCTCGACTATTTTCTCTTTTTATTGGATCAATAGTAATCGATATTTGCTACATAATTGCTATACAGCTTACAATTGGTATATAGTAACATCATTTTATAAATAATTGCATAATTTGTTGAAAATATTAAGATGAAAGAAAAATAGGTTAAAGAAATCACATTTGAAATTGTTCACATATAAAAATATTTCGGGTATATAGATTATCGTTAATAATCGGATATACTATTAAGTAATTAATTAATGTTTTTATCTTAATATATAGCAAATTATGCAAATCATTTAATTGTTATTAGAAAATAATCTATTACGAAATTATTATATTTTTGTATATTGAAATGAGAAAATATTAATATAATATAATATAATGAGAAAAATTTTTATAGTAATTAGATTTTAACACAATTTTATTATTATTAATATTTCAAGTTTGAATAGAGTTTTATTTTTCATTACCTTAGACTTCTTTAACAATGAACGATATATTTTTAAGAACAAATTATAATATTTCATTTGTTTCGTTTCAGTTTTTCATAATTTCTACCTTTTCTTGTGCTTCGAGGAGGACGCAGTGATGCTTCAAACCTAAGCATGTAAGAATCTTTGCATATCACACTCCAATTAATTTTATTCCTTGAGTTTTGCTTTAATTATTCAAAATAAAAAAGGTCTAATTTTATGCTTTAATATCAGAGTTTCAGTTGTTATAGTAATTAGAGTACATTAACAATTTAAAATTTTTTGCTGTATCATTACTTAATTTCCAAAATAAATTATTCACGCATGTATTATTTATATATCTATACGAAGACATGCTTTGTTACAGGTTTATCACTCCTTCCTCTTCCTCCTGCTTCCTGAAAAGGACCTAGTGGTGCTTCACAAGCCAAGAATGTAAGTAATATGTAAATTATCTAATTCTATTGCTTATATTTCAATTTGCTACTCCTAATTTGAATATTGTCAGTAAAATTTTAATAGATATTAATAGACATTAATCTTCCACTGCTTTAAATTTTCCAATCAATTAATGTCATATTTAAGAGCAAATTATAATATTCCATGCATTGTTAACAGTTTTTTCTATGATGGGATTGCATGACTTGTCTTTGATGACGGTCTTCACGACGACTTTCCTGGGCTACCATAGCATCGATGACTATGTTCCTCGCATCTTATCGTGAATCATATGCACTTTTGTCACTCAATGATGTCGTAGGACGAAAGGTCCGAATGGATACGGGTGACTAGTTGTACTACGTAGAATTTTTTACGAGCACAGTGACCGCGGGTATTTATTATACCCGTGAGTACTAACATTTTCTTTTTTAGGATAGGTCTTCTTGCACATCGCGTTTTTGTTTATGTTAATTACATAATACTGAGAAATTTTATATTAACAATATTAATAATTCTACTAACTGATAAAAACGACATTATATTAACAATTAATTTGAATATTTGTGATTGAAAATATACATGTATCTTCACTATAATAATCACTTTTAAAATTGGAATGTATTAAAAATGTATATATACAGAGAGTTGCAATGATTTAATTAAATATTTCGCAGTGACGAAGTCGGACGCCCTCCGACTTTGTTGCATTAAAAATTGCAATTACATATTTAATAATAACGATAATAAATAATTTTTTATTTCATCTTCTATTCTCTCATTGCACTATTACGATGAAGTTAATTGTTTGCCATTCATTTTTGAATTTGAATATTAATTTGAAATATACATATAGTGATAGTAGAATTCAGTCCTGCCGTACAAATAAGCATAGAATCTTATGTGCAAGGAGAAACTTCGCGACAGATAAATTTTGGAATCAAAGCAACAAGTTTTGAACACTGCTTTTTGTATTTTCGAAAATGTGCTTTGACGAAGGGATTGCCTGAGGTTGTTTGCAATAATATCTAACTTTGAATCAATTATTAAATAAATTTCTTATTCATTGTCTATTTGTTTCTTTTGTAATGGAATTTCAATAGTTCATAGAGTCAATTATTTGAATGAATCATTATATTGCATTGATCTTATTTATGCTGTTTTCTATAAATAAGTTCAATATTAGCATTTCGGTAAATTATAAATTTAATAACCTAGATTATACAGTGATAGTAATAGAGATAAAGTTCGAAAATGCAAAGTGAAGAAAGACTAGTCCGTTAAATACAAATTAGATGCACTGATACGTTTTTTAGTTAGGATTTTAAGGTTTAACTCCTTCCCTATTTAATGCCAGGATCTCACTCACGTGCTCAAGATATTACTTGGGTGAGAGAAAGGCAATGAGTACGATGATCATTGATTTTATAATAATTTGCAAGCGACTGACGATGAATTAGCGTATCATGCACGACGTACTTTCCATAGCATATTTTCTGGTGTGTTTGTTAATTACAAGTAGGTAGGGCCGGGCAGGTTGGCACAGTCTCTGGTCGGGTAGACGCGCTTTCGTGTGACCAACTTGTTTCTGGAAATCTGATTTGAAAAATCACCGGTGAAATTAGCACGAGTAGAGAGTATGCTCTCGTCACTGGTTTTGACAATGGTTTTGGCCATCCTGTCAATCAGAATCCTCGAATGTATCTGAAATATTGAATTTTTTCAACATTAGACTCAATACAACTGACATTATTTACAATTTAACTAAATGTCCAAATAAGCCAAGGGTCCAGTTCAACAACAAAAATTTTGATCGAATGTTCAATAACAAAAATAAAAAAACAAAAATCAATAACATTATGATTAGTATTCAAAGTGCTAGTTGCATCCTGTGAATTACCAGTCAGACTGTAATGACATGACAGACCATTCTCGATCTCGTACCTCAATAAATCTCACTTTTTCTAGATCACATTACCACACTGGGTGTATGTGAAAACACTATGCTAGATGTTATGGCAATAGTGCTAATGATCCTCAGGGATCGGTGTACTGATATCGTCATTGTCACTGCCATTGTCATCACTGCAGACATCCAACCCAACAGAAATGCAACTCTCTGGCATTTTTCTCAATTTATCATGATTGTATTTATATGATTGTTTACTATCTAATGTTTTTAAAACATACCTATCTCCTTCCAAAATCTCTGCTATTACAAATGGACCATCAAATTTTGGATCTAATTTAGTTTGATTATTTCTTTTCTCATTTTTACGTAATACAAAATCATCAAGATTAAATCTAACTACCTTAGCTGTACTTTTGTCAAATCTATCTTTATCATATTTAGCACTAATTTCAATATTATTTATTGCCTGCTGTCGTACATCGGAGATATCTACTTCTCTTTCTTCAATATTATCGGGTAGCAACAAGCCATAAGGTTTTGCTGCTGTCCTACCGATTAATAATTCTCTAATGGACTCGATTTAGTCACACGATTGGTGGTGCAATTCAAAGCCAAGAGCATCAGTTAGGACAGAAATTATCTTTTCATGTTTATCTGTCTAAGTTATGTTTTTGTTACCTAAAATAGGTATTATACAGAGGTTCCATTACTTGTGAATATTTAGGTACGAATTTTCGGAAGTAAGAAGCTAGATCTATGAACTGCCTGAGGTGGATATGCCACCATGTTGATAGCGCTGCTGCTGGTGTAAGATGTCGCTGGGAGGTATGTTGATTTTCTTTCTTTTTGCATTCGGAAACTTGCACGAATTGAATTATTTCCTTCTTTTGTTTTTTCTGCATTTTGTAAAGCACGTTGCGGAAAGGAAAAATCGGACTACGCATGCTGGGATTTGAACCTGAGTCCTGGCCGTTCGTAACCAAAGACGCTAATCACTGCGCTATCATCGTGCGGTCCTAATTGTCACTGCAGGTAAGCTCAAAGCTTGTGTTTTACCCGAGTTGGGGCGAACTTCTCCATTATGAATTACATACCCAAAATAAAGTATCGATATTTTTAGAAAAGAACATTTAGAGAAATTGAAAGAAAATTCAGCTTTTATGAGGGTATTTAATACAATGTATAATCTTTTTAGAGCTTGGTCTACGGAGTCGGCAATAATTGAAACATCGTCCAAATAAACAACAACGTACGACTGAGTGAGGTCACCTAAGGCCTTGAGAATGACCCTTTGAAGAACGAATGGTGAATTTTTTAACCCAAACGGCATTCTTATATACTCTTATTATCCATCGAGGGTAACAAATGCTGTATACTCAGTACAATTAGGATGAATAGGGATTATGTGAAACCCGCTGGCTATGTCTAGGCTAATAAAGTATCTCGCTTTTTTGCAATTCTGCGATTTGATCCGCAATAAGAGGTAAAGCCCGTATTTACACGAGTACGGGTTTTCAGCGGTTTTATTACACATTAATTATTTTTATTTTACAGATAGCGAGACTATTTTGTGTAATATTTACGTCAAAACTTTGGCTTAAAATTTCACGACCAATCATGATATACAGGGTGGTTGGTAACTAGTGGTACAAGTGGAAAGGGGGCGATTCTAAGCGAAAAAAGAAGTCGAAAATATAGAATAAAAATAAAACCACCCTGTATTTTAAATAATTATCAACAAGGACATGGAAAGTTATCTCCAATGTAAAACCATTAATACATACAACTGACAAAATTTGTGATGTACATTTAATACAGGTATTTCCTATTACTACTATATCAGTCATTCTTTTACCAGAAAATTTCAAGGCTACGGATTCTTTAATTAGGGAACACTCGCCTCCAGAATCGAAGTAAAATGGAAACGACTTACCTATATGACTGACTGTGGCAGATTCCACCACGCAGGCGTCGACTCGATGTACGCTGCCGGAATTGTAGGTTCTTTTTCGCAACAACGGACAATCAGCCGCGGCATGGTCCTCCTCATGACACTTGAAATACGACGCCTTTGACGTGCTTGGTTGATTTTCTTCTCGAGTTTGTATATTCTTCAATTTCGCAAACCTTATTCTCTTACGGCACACTGCCATTTTATGTCCAAGGACACCACAGTAGAAGCACTTAATCCGGGAGCGAGATGACTTGCGTTGTTTAACTTCAGGGCTTGCTGATAAATTATTTGAGAAAGGCACCGACCACGCGTAAGAGAAATCTCTCATTAGACTTCGAAATTCATCCTCATTCGTGACATTCCCCGCAAGTGCAATGTCTTTAATACGCTCATCTTCTGAACTCAGTCGAGCAAGAACACAGGCGTTGATTATTTCAGCAGGAGTCAAATTTTCCCACCTCGTCTTCAAGAAGCAACGGAGACGGAGGCCGAACGCTCCCATGTGTTCGTCCTTCATTGGTTGTTCCTTCATTATCTTCATAAGCGCCCAGGCTGTGGACTCGTTTCCACCAAAACGTATAGTGAAAAGTTCTTTAAATTTTGGCCAGGTAATATCCAATTCATGGACCATTACTTTCTTAAGCCATAGCATTGCAGAACCCTCTAGAGCATTAATTAAAACAGAGTACAACGCGCCGTTTTCTAAAGGATTTTTCTCCATAATCCGATTGGCAGCTGCGCACCATACAGCTGGATCGGAGCCCGCGATTTCGGGATTAAAACGCGGCAGCCACACATTTTTAGCTTCTGCATTCGAGTTTTGCATGTACGACTGAATTAACTCTTGTATGATAATTAAAGAATCTTGCACTGTTAATTTCCCATGTATTGTCGAGTTAACATGGGGCTCAGGGGTGTTGGGCGAACTTTCACTTGGACTATCCATTTTTTAGTAGATGATAGTTGATGATGATCACTTAAGATGTCAAGAAACTTGGATCAACTATTACTGCTAACTACGAACTACCGGCTCTGACTGCTGTCTAACGACTGACTTTCCGTCATAAAGACGCTCCAGAGGAAACTATGATGGGGTGTGTCTAAGGATACGAGATCATCGGATTCGTCGAGGAAAGCCTTCGTTCGGAAAGTGAGGGAAATGGACGTTGCTGTTAATTGGTTACTTTCTACGGTAGTGGTTGAAGAAGGGTGAAGGTATCCGCGATTAAGAGAAAGCTAGTAGTATCTTCCCATACTAAATAATAGATTTAGGGGCTGTTAAGGTAAAGACTATTTGTTCGTTTGAAGAACCTTAGCTAGAGAAATCCTAAGATTTATAGCAGGTCCTTAAGCTAGCTAAAGCGAGAAACCGTTGGAGTGTTTATTGTCGCGCGCCGCCACAAATATTTCTTTTAAGGAGAGCTATGCAATTACTCC